GGGAAAGAGGAAAGGAAGATGTTAACATCTATGGAATTCTGACCCCAGGTGCTCTTCCCTGAGTGTTTTGTTCTGGGTGATTTTAGTCTGTCAGCAAATATTTCTTGAGCCCTACCATATGCCAGACATTGGCAAACAGTAATAAACAAGGAGGCAGCATCCCTACTCTCATGGATCTTATATTCTAGAAGGGAAGACAGACACTGGGCATACCATTACACCCAATTAATTGATAGCAAGTGGATAAGTGCAGTGAAAAATATGTACAGAGCTGTACAAGTGTATATATAACCCACCTACTCAAATCTGAGGGCTGAGATAAGGCTTTCCTAACAAAGCAACCTTGAAGCCAAAGCACCATCTTTTATAAAACCTGCAGCAGGGGTGTCAGGATTCCCCAAATGATCATGATTGTCATGTTCACAGAAAATTCAGAATGAGAAAATCAGTTACCCAAGATCATGGTGAAGAGGTGGGATTCAAACCCAGGTTACCTTACATGTTTTCAATAAACGTAAAGCATAAAGTAACCATTTTACATTATTTTCTAGAGGTATCCCTGTCACAGGGTGTTTTAACTAGGTAAACTACATTGTTTCAAATAAGTAAAATACATTGTACAAAATTCTAAATATTCTGTGAAAAGTGGCTCTTCCTCCCTGCCTTGTCCCCCTGGCTCCCTTCTCTGCAGGCAAAGCTAGTCAAGTTTCTGGTGTATTCATCCAGAGGTATTTTTAATACTTGCAGCACTGACTTTGTGCCAGGTACTTTTCAAAGTGTTTTACAAATGTTTACTTGTTTAATCCTGATAATAATTTTATGTGGCAAATAGAATTATTAACTCCATTTTTCATGTTTACTCATACTTTTCCACACAAATGTTTTAGATTTTAAGTGCACACCACACTTTGAGATGCTTCTCCCTGTGTGCTAGTCAGCTTTTGCTTTGGTAATATCATGTAACAAACAAGTACAAAATCTTAGCGGCTTCATGACAAACATTTCTATCATACTTGTAACTCAGCTGTGGCTCAGCTGGGCTTGGCTCCAAACTGGAGGTCAGATTTGTGTCTGCGTCATGCATCTCTCCTTCCAGAATCTTGGCTGAGGGTGTATTGCCCACTAGAGAGATCTTCATGCCAAGTAGCAGGAGCGTAAGAGGGAAGTGGAAACATACAATACCTTCAGAAACCTCCACCCTGAAGTGAAGGATGTTCTCCTCCATGCACAGTCCATTAGTCAAAGAGAGTCACATGGCCAAATCCAAACTCTGTGGGTCAGGAAACTATATATGGCAAGTGCAAGGAGAGAACACAAACTTTTGAATGAAGTTATCTAATCTACACACCCTAAAAATACAAATTCTATCTTTTGCTACGGATATATAGAGGAAGAATTGAAAAGATAGAACTCTGAATGAATTACTAATTTTCCTATGGTCTTCTGCTGGCGACATATAAACAGCTCCCTGTTTCTGTTTGCATTTCTCAGGTTTTCCACCATGTTTGGAAAGAAAAAGAAAAAGATTGAAATATCTGGCCCATCCAACTTTGAACACAGGGTTCATACAGGGTTTGATCCACAAGAACAGAAATTTACCGGCCTTCCCCAGCAGTGGCACAGCCTGTTAGCAGACACGGCCAACAGGCCGAAGCCCATGGTAGACCCTTCGTGCATCACTCCCATCCAGCTGGCTCCCATGAAGGTATGGCAAGGATTCTGTCTTTAAGTTTGCTTAAGAAGCATGCTCTCTCATTTGATGCAGTGAGCCATCTTTACGGGCGAGCTATCAAATGTATAAATCATGTATTTGTTTTTAAATATCCACAGATTATCCACAATCATCTTCAATGAGTATAATGTTCACCACTTAATTTTCATGTAAATTGCAACACATAAAAAGGAACCTCAGCTTTCAGATGTGAGTTTTTTTAAATCAGACTCATACAATACAGTCACAAAATAGGAAATTTTCATTTCTACTTTTAATGGTGTTTGTTCTTTTTACTAAAGAATATTATCCACCCACTCTGGTAAATATTGGCAATAATCTCTGAGTAGACATTATGTTAGGCAGCTTTGTGTTGTTTTGCATTTGCCCTCAGAATGTCTAAACTTTTATATAAATAGTAATAACAGTTTTTAACAATAATAAATGATTTATATATGTGTACACACATACATGCATATGTGTATATACTTTATATATAAAACCAAATATATATTTATAAGTATATATATATATAAATTATATGTATATAGTCTTCATAGTCTAAGAGCTATTTCAAATAAAAGATGAAGCATTTGAGTCCTAGAATAGGCTATAATTTACCTTAAAAAATGGCTAGTAGATTTTTAAGAGGAATGTTCATCAAAATAATTGCATTAAAGTCGAACTCAGACCCAATACATTTCAGATATGTCAAGAGACTACAAAGAAAGTCCAGCCTTTGCAGTTTCCTTCTGCACCTCAGAATGATAAGAATTCCCTGGGTCATTTCCCAAAAGCTCCCTATGGGAGTTAAACATCACTGAAGCTTATCATCATGTTATCCAATAGATTAGATTTATATTAGTAGGCATCTGAGCTACATAAACACCTTATTCTGTATTAACATGCATATTGAATACACTGAGTTTAAATGATATGTAAAACAACAGTGGATGCATTTTTAAACGGAGTAAAGAAGGAACCTATCTGGTAAATTACAAGAAATTCTTATAAGAGACCACCTGAGCTGAGTAAGTTGGAATTGTGATTCCATCATTTATGCATGGTCTTGGTCATTCTATTCTAGTATTGAACATGTGGGTCTCTTCTGCCCAAAGATCTATACAGAGTGTTCTAATCCTGCATCTTGTGAATTTGATGTTCTGATAAGATTTTGAAAGTTTTCAAGCCAGCTAAAATGTAAAATACTAAGGAGATAGATATCTGAGAAGATAAAACTTTAGGGACAAAAAGGAACCTCTTTCTAAGCAGGTATTGATTGATATTTAATAGAAACTGACCAATTAACCAACTCAACTGGTTAATATTAGGCAGTATCTTACTACTGAACATGATTTTCTTCCGAAATAAAGACTAATGCCTCACTAATGACTAAATAATAGGCTGGACCTTATCTAAAAAGAAGTTGAGATTGGAAAGAATTTACTTTTTAGTTTCATTATTTTTCACATATTCCAAGTTTTTATAAAACCCAGAAAACAGAAGACACGGTGTGCCCAGAAAAGTTATCTGCTATTGATCAACATGACAAAGGAAAACTGCCCAAATGAAACAAGGGCTATTTTTTTACCCTTGAGTATAATCATTTGATGAGGAACATTCTGGAAGAAAGTAGTTAAAGGCCCACGATGTGCTTTCATATCAGGGAGTGTGGTTATTACAGGGTCAGGACAGAGTACCATTTATTTCACCATGGTTTTTCACTTGTCCAGGTCCTAGCAGGTCCTGGCTGGCAGTGAAGTAGGAATCTCCCATCTCAGTGATAATCCACCACACTCAGTGGACGTAGGACTTAAGAGAACCTTCTAGCTCATTTCTTCCATCTCCTGGATGGGCAGGCTCATTATCCTCTCAGACTTAATTTATGAGCCTCACTGATTGGAGCAAGATTTCCTAACTGCTGAGCTCCTGAGCCCAGTGATTCTCTTACTCACGTCATGGGCTTCCTAGCCCTGATGCCAAATGTGTGAGTATCCAGTCTGCATGAAACGCAAACGTTTGTTTTAGACACTTAAATGCTAACAGAAAGATGACTGGAAAATACATCTCGAGTATGCATCCAGCCCTGGATTTCTGAAAATTTCAGGCAGTTTCACCTGCGAGAAAAAAACAAAAACAGACAAGGAGTGACAAAACAAGAGTCAGCTAGGTTGAATTTTCCCCAGAAAGAGCAGAGCTAATTAAATACTTTCTAACTGAAGGACCCCCAAGAAATCCATATTTCATGCTCTCACCAAACTCCTTTAGATGGAGCCTCTCTTTCTCCAAATCCCATGAATGCAGTTGGTGCTGTCAGCACATATTGAATCGGGGTCCAAGAGAATCCTACTGACTCTACCAGCCTCTTGGAATAAGGAAAATAAAAGGTTGCAGGGGCCAAAGTATGCCATGAGGTTTGGATGATCTCACTCTTTGGAAATGACTTCTCTGTAGAAATCTTGCAAATGACTTGAGAAGGACAAATTATAAACCATGCAGTATATATTGCATAAGTTGGAACAGTCTTTGAAATACGAAGCCATGAATGAATTGATAGAAAGGAATGAATAGGTAGAGTTGTGCAGATTTAAAGCCATTTTTGGCAAAGTTTTTTTAAGTTAAGTAGAATTGACAATTCTAATTTGGTCAATTTGTCCTTTGAAGCAGACAAAGGAAAACGAGAAAACAGATCATGACATAAAAGCAGTACTGGAAGAGGTGTACAGTGCCTTAGGTGGTGGCAAAGTGCTGGTCCTTCAGGGTTGGTCAGTAAGCTTCAGGCCAGCTGGTTCTGAATGGAAATTCACCATTGCAACCAATACTCTCTTCTCTGATTGGTTAAAGAGCTGTTCCTGTTCAAACCTTCTTTAAAGAACATGTCACAATCACCAGGACATACTCTTCTATGTAGATTCATTTAGGTCAGTGTCTCTCAAACTATAGTCCAACAGAATCACCTGGAAGGCTTGATAAACACAGATTTCTGGGCCCATTTCCAGAGTCTCTGATTGAACAGGGCTGGGATGGAGCCTAAGAATTTGCACTTCTAATAAGTTTCCAGGTGATGCTGTTGCTGCTGGTCTGGGGACCATGCTTTGAAAACCTTGATTTAGCTAATTACAAAAGAATTTATCCACATAATGTATAAATACACGTTTACACTGGCCAACATTTCCAAAATCTCAGAAACCAGGAGCTACAGGTTAGCTCCGATTTGTGTCAAAAGTTAAACTTCAGGTACCCAAGCCAAAGGTGTGTAGGCAGGTGAGGGTGGGGTGGGGAGTGCTTTTTAAAACATAAAACGTTTGGCAAATATCTTTGAGAAACTCCTTTCTATATGTAACATCATTTTGTCCACAAGAATGTCATAAGCGATAATACCAAAATTCCTGCTAAATTAGATACATTTACGTAAAGGACAGGATGAATGGTCATGTTTGTTCTTGCCCAGTGGTTCTCAAACTTGAGCTTTCAGCAGCATCTCCTGAGGAGCTTATTAAAACCAAGATTCCTGGGCCCCACCCTAGAGATTCTGCTTCAGTAGTTCTGGGTGTGCCCCATGGTTTACACGTCTAACACGCTCTCAGATGGTGCTGACACTACTAATGGGTGGAGGACAACTTTAAGAACCACTGTTTTAGATGGACTGAAGCTTGAGCTTAGTGATCACCCTTTGTAACAGCCTAGAAATCATTTAAAAATGCTAAAAAATTATAAAAGGATAATGTTAAAAAGCCTTTATATCATAACATTGTAAGTCAACTATACTCCAATAAAAAAATAATAAAAAGAATAAATGGGGACTTCCCTGGTGGCACAGTGGTTAAGGATCTGCCTGCCAATGCAGGGGATACGGGTTCGAGCCCTGGTCTGGGAAGATCCTGCATGCTGTAGAGCAACTAAGCCCATGCACCACAACTACTGAGCCTGTGCTCTAGAGCCCGTGAGCCACAACTGCTGAGCCTGTGCTCTAGAGCCTGCGAGCCACAGCTACTGAACCTGTGTGCCACAACTACTGAAGCCCACACGCCTAGAGCCCGTGCTCCGCAACAAGAGAAGCCACTGCAATGAGAAGCCCATGCACCACAACGAAGAGTAGCCCCTGCCAAAAATAAATAAATTAATTAATTAAAAAAATAAATTATAAAAAAGAATAAATGGCCATTTAAAAAAGCCTTTATAGCTTCTCTTTAAAGTGGACAAATAGCATATCTTAATATTGCTTCAGATTTGTTTTTCATTTTCAAGTAAAACCATAGAAATAATAGTATTATTCGGCATATTTCAATTTTATTAAATGATGCCGTACTGTATATAATATGCTCTAACTTGCTTTTTACTTAACATTGTTTTAAGATAAACTCATTTTCTGCAAATCAATATGAATTTATTTAAAAATTATAGCTGTTTACAGCTTCTCTGTTTCTCAGTGAAGGGATATTGCCAAATATGTGCTATTTATAAATAATGTTGTCATGAATATCTTTGTTCTTGTCCCCTTGGGCACATGGTGAAACATTTTTTTGCAGCAGTTCTCAAAGTTTGGTCCAGAACCCCTGAGGGTCCCTCAGACTATCTCAGGGAGTGGAAGATAAAAACTATTTTCATTATAATACTAAAGCATCATTTGCCATTTTCATTCTCATTCTCTCCCAAGTGTACAGTAGAGTTTCCTAAAATCTACATGGCGTGTGTTAATATCATTGGTCTGGTACCTAATGGATCTTGTGCTTTGTATTCTTGTGTTTCTCAGTTTATTTCGAATGCAGTAAATAATGATAGATAAAACATAAACCAGAGTCTTTTGTGGTCCTCAATAATTATGAGGCTCTTGAGACCAAAACGTTGGAGAACCACTGTCTTAGGGCTGACATCAAATTTGAGTACCTGTGGCTTCTACAACTCGCTCCTCACATACTACCCAGGGTTTTTTTGTGTTTTCTTTTCTTCTTATTCTTTTTGTTGTTGTCGTTTTAATTGAAAATAGAAAGTAG